CCATTTAGTCTCTCTGCCTGCCAGCCCCGCCTATCCTTTCTCCTGTCTCACTATTGGCCGTTCAGCTCTTTATTAGACCATCAGGTGTTTTATACAGGCAAAGAATCACAGCTTCACCATGTTAAACAAATGCAGCATGAACAAAAGTCGCACACCTTAAAGTAATATCCTACTGCATACATGCACACAGAGAGAGAGAGAGAGAGAGAGAGAGAGAGAGAGAGAGAGAGAGAGAGAGAGAGAGAGAGAGAGAGAAATGGAAAAAAGAAACAGGAAGAGGGAAACATCCTCACCATCAAGCTAGCCTCAAGTGTGGAATGACTTAATGAAGGAATGGACTGATTGACAAATCAGGAAGGTGGGGATGTTGATACACGGTTACAGCAGTGGCCTCAAATCCCCTTCATGCAATGGAGTGAGACCAAGCTTCTAAGTTTCATAGGCACAGAGGGAAGCTGTCCACTGCCCCACAGAAGGACTCCTCCCACGAAATCCAACCACCGCCATCGCTTAGTTTGTGTTGTGTATGGCGATGGGTACCTGAAACACTCGGCAGAGACAAAGAAAATGAGATCCTCCATTCAAAGTGGGCTGTGGTCTCCTGGCTCTTCTCAAGGGACAAAGCTGAACGTGAAAAGGTTTGGGTTCGTGAGTTTTCCAAGGGTCTAGAACAGGTCTGGTGTATGCAATGTGTTAATTGGTGCAGCGGTGGGCATTGGGGAACTGTGAAATCATAAAATAAGGCAGATAAGAAATCACAGAGATGGATCTGGGCCTGGAGAGATGATGCAGCACTTAGAAGAGGAAACTGCTCTTGCAGAGAACCAGACAGCATTGGCTTCCCAACACACACGCAGATCAATGTCCCTCAACTCCAGCACTGGGCAGCTTGCACTCTAGGGATTCTGAAGGCACTGCACACATGTGCATATACCCTGCCCAACATAAATTAGTAAACACATAGTAAAATGTGAAAGACAGAGCTATGAGAGAGGAGAGAAGGACTGAAAAACAGAGAGAGTAGTATATTCAGACAGAAAATGATTCTAGACAAAAATGCAAGTTGGTGATACACAACTTTAATCTCAGCACTTAAGAGGCAGAGGCAGATGTGTCTCTGAGGTCAAGGCCAGTCAGGTCTACAGAGTGAGTTCCAGGACAGTCAGAGCTACACAAGAAACCTTATCTCAAAAACAAAACAACAAAAACAGACAAACAAATAAACAAACAAGAAAGATTCTAAGAGAGAAGCAGAGAAAACCAGAGAGTTGAACAGAGTAAGAGAAACTCAGACAGATGCAAAGATGGAGCAAGTCAGAGGCGGAGAGAAACTCTGCCGAGGGAGAGGCAGGGATATGGTAGCAGGGAGACCAGCGGACATTTGACAGGGAGAACCCCAACAGAGACATACCAGGCAAGAAAAGGCAGAGAACAAGAGCTAAGCGAGGAGAGCAATTAACGTGGAGAGGGACGGGTTGAGAGATGCCCCCGGATCTGAGAAGACAGGAGAGAAAGGACAGGGACAGCAGGGCATCTCTGAAGACCAGGGTTCGCAGGACCCGTATGGTGGAAGGAAAGGGCTGACTCTTACAAGTGGTCCTCTGGCTGTTACCCCCTCGATAGTATACAAAGAAACAGATAATGTGAAAACCGAAGGCAGTCGGTAAGGAGCGATGGAGAAAACCATAGTGCAGAGAATCTCCTGCCTTTTCTCTCAGGGTGACTTCCATTCTCACGCCCATAGGGCCCATAGGGATCTGGGGCCAAGATCAACACACTGAAGCCTCATTAATTACAGATGGGCAATAATGGGTCCTTGTGGGAGCTTAGTGTGGTCCTGACCCAGGGAGAATTCAAAGTGGGGAGTCCTGCAATTGGTCCCCTGATCCCTCTGGGTCAGAGCTCTCTAGGGACCTGGGTGGAGGCCTTAAACTCATCCCACAATGAACACAGTCTGGATAATTTGCCATCCCCCACCCCCACTGCTGAGCCCGGGTGCCTCATGCACACTGTGCACCTTTGGTGGTGGGAAGAGTCTATTTGCTCCACAATGGGGATGTGTGGCCGTGGCTTCACTATGCGGTAAAGAAGGAGGGGTTTCTGTGAGGTGAGTCTCTTGAGGTTGCAGATTCTTGAGGGAGACCTGCTGGGCGTCAGTGAGATGCCATGTGACCCAAAGGAGCTGTTGTACAAAGGGATGCGTGTGCATGTAGGTCAGAATGTCTTATAGGGGAATCCCATCTCTCTCCATCTCTCTCCCGTCCCAGTCTTCACCCAATATCACAGGATAGGACTGTAGGCATCTTTCATGATTGACTTCCTCCCCTGCACCCGTGACTGCAGTGGGTTTATAACTACTGGGAGACTCTGATATTTGTGAATCTCATGTTCAGCCATGGGCTCTCTGTTAAGTCCTGGACTCATCTATTCAGTGTTGATAGATATGAGATTAGGGTTCCCACAAGGACCTAAGAAACGTAATACTTAAAAATGAGTATACCTCTATTCCTTGCACTTGGCAGGTCAATGCAGTAGGAAAATAAGTTTGGGTCTAGCCTGGGATACATACTAAGTTCTTGGCTAGTCTCGGCTACACAGCAAGATTGTTGAACAGATGGGGGAAAAGTGCTCTCCAAGAGTCAAGGAGGAGAAAAGGAGTTAGTTCTCACTTCTTTAAAGTGAGTGTGAGTTTTTGGTCAAGAGAAAGGAAATGTCAAGGGTTGCTTATACAACTGCATATACGGTACTTCCCTAGCCCCAAGGTCCACATACCCACTGAGAGAAGAACCTGGAAGTCTTCTCAGATGCCCGGGGTCAGTCAGAATGTGTCACCCCACGATTGACACAGTAATGGCCTTCCCGCCCCACTTGGCAGGGCGTTGGCTAGACCACCTACACGCACATTCTTTTTTTGCTGGCCACATTCTAGCCATTGGCCACCTTGGCCCAGCCGTGCTCACTTCGGTCCTGTGCCCTGGACTCACCTCTGGGTGTCAAGGGTCTTCTGCCTCCAACACCATCTCCCCAGGCTTCATAGACACCTCTCTAACATCTCTATGCGCGTTAACACACGCTTCGAACAAGCTTGGAAAAGATGTGCAGAGATTGTCTGCATCTTACAAACGAGGAAACGGGATTCTTCTTCTTAGCACATGGGAAGAATTAGTACAGAGCAAACCACCTGAAGACATTGTCCCTCTCAGCCACTCCTTTCCCATCCTTTCAACAAATGGCCTTTGGTTACCTCGTGACAAACTTTGAGGTCAGCTGGGACGTATCTAGGAAGGGGTTCTGGAGGATGGGAGACTGTCGTGGTCTCCCTAAGGGGAACAGGTCCTCCCTGGAGAGGAACAGCCCAGACATTTCCATGAACGTTCTGCTTCCCTAGTGCCTGTCTGATCTGCAGCAGAGAGGGGTGCAGCCGAGCCAAAGGTTTTATGCCCAGCTGTCTCTTCACATGGGCTGGGCCTGTCCCCTGGTAGGGAAGAGAGAGAACGAGGATGAAGAAAGGAGAGGGAGGGGGGATGGTGAGAGATGAATGGTCAAGGAGAGCAGGGGGAAGAGGGGGATGGGTGGGGAGCAGAGGAGGGGAGCAGAAGAGGCCATTAGAGGCAGAGACACCTGTGGGGACAGGGAGACACCGAGACGGGATAGGAAGAGAGGAGAACAGGCTCCAAAGGGTGGCTGGGTGGAGAGATAAGGACAAGGTAGAGAGGGACGCAGGGAAAGGTAGGAAGCAGCGAGGAAGGGAGGAGAGAAGGACGAAAGGGAGGAGAGAGGGGAAATGGAGGCAAGACTTGGGGTGGGCAGGGCTGTGGCTAAGGATAGGTGGGGTGGGAGGAAGTTGAGGGGGGAGTTAAGTGCCAGGAAAAACAATCTGAGGGCGTCGTGTGAATCCAGGAGAAAGCGGTGATGGAAGAGAGACGGACAGCTCGGAGAGGGAAGGGGAGAGCAGAGGGGACGGAGGGCAGGAGGTGTGCCTGTGACTTTGTGTGTCTCGGAAGCGTTGTATAATATAGTCTCTTTCCAGCAAAATAGGGAAGGGCCTCTTGAGACGTAGCCTTGGATCCTAGGCACAGCTTCGGGCGTCAGAATGACTGGCTCGGAGTGGTTTAAGAAGCAGGGAAGAGAGAGGAGGAGGGCAGCAGAAGGCAGTGTCGGAAGGCCTGGTGCATGGACCACCCGGGGTTTATGCTTGGGTGTGGGGTCCAATGGCCCCCAGAGCTGGCTTGGTCTTACAACCCCTAACATAACCCCCCACCTGCCAGGCACCAACACCCTCTATGTGAGATATTTTGGGGTGAAGGGCTGAATGAAAGATGGTGAGGAGGTGGAGTTAGCACTGGATTTGGAGGGTTGGGCTTAGAGTTGGGGGTCCCAGGCTCTTATGAGGACTTAGACCAAACCAGCCTGAAGGAACCTGGTTGTGAATTACTGAGCCACATGCTGATGTAGAGCTACGGATACAGGAGGGATAATGGAAGGGACTGGCAGGGAGGCAGGAGGGGAGATGGCAGGGAGGGGAGAGGAAGTGGGTGGATGAAGAAGAGGAAGAGGGAAGAGAGGAGATAAAGGAGAAGTGGAGGAGGGAGACCGGAAGAGAGAGGGGAGGATGGAGGATGGAGAGAGGGGGAGAGACAGAGGTAGACAGAGAAGAGGGGAGGGGTATGGGAGGAGGGGGAAACAGAGAGAGAGGAGGGAGGAGGGAGGAGAGGGGAGAAGGCTGGGGATGAAGAAATGGGAGGAATGAGGGAAGAGAGAGAAGGGAGAGGAAGAGGGAAACTTCAGATTCGAAACTTCCTTCAGTGTAACATAGTCTGCGAGTGGCAGAGACAGAAGCAGTAAGAAGCTACAGTAAAAGGCAAGCGAGACATAACTTAGAGTTGGGGAGAACAAAGGAGGGGTGAGGGAGGGGAGGGAGGAGCCGGATACCACCCACATCCATTACCCTCCTAGCCCAGAGGGGCTGCAGTGATCCTGCCCTTGTCTCTGTCTCCAGGATGGGGCCAGGAACCCTCAATGACTCAAGAACCCCCGAGTTCCTGCTGCTGGGACTGTGGGCCCCACCTTCCCTGCGTCCCTTGCTGTGGGCCTCTCTTCTCCTGGCCTACCTCGCCACGGTGTTGGGTAACGGTGCCCTGGTGGGACTCATAGCCCTGGACAGACGACTACACCGGCCCATGTACCGCCTGCTGACCCACCTGGCCCTGCTGGACACGGCCTATGTGAGCACCACGCTGCCGCAGGCGCTGGCACACATGGCCATGCAGCGTGCCCGCCTCTCCCTGGCGCGCTGTGGGGCCCAGCTGTATGTGGGCATCTCCCTGGGCAGCTGCGAGGCCATCCTCCTGGCCGCCATGGCCCTGGACCGCTGTCTGGCCGTGTGCAGACCCCTGCATTATGCGACGCTGGTGACCACGCCCCGTTGCGCAGCGCTGGCTGGAGCATCCTGGACGCTGGGCTTTGGACTGTCTGTGCCCAATGCGGTGGCCGCACTGCGCCTGCCCTTCTGTCCCGGGAGGCCTGCGGTGGACCACTTCTTCTGTGAGCTTCCTGCGGTGCTGAGGACAGCGTGTGCGGACACCACAGCCAACTACAGGCTGGTCTACGGCCTGGGCGTGCCCATCCTCCTGGTGCCCTTGGCCTTCATCCTAGCCTCCTACGCCTGGATTCTGGCTGCGGTGAGCAGGTTGCCCTCGGCTGGGAGTCGCCGAAAGGCCCTGTCTACCTGTAGCTCACATTTGGCGGTGGTCGGGCTCTTCTATGGAACCGTGAGCGCCATGTACCTGCGGCCCCGAGCCTCTAGTGCTCTCCCCGCCAGACATCATAAGCTGGTGGCCGTTTTCTACCTGGTGATCACACCTGTTCTCAATCCACTCATCTACAGCCTTCGAAACCGTGAGGTCCACGCGGCAGCCCAGTATGCCCTGGCCCGACTCCGGGGCGGGAGCACTGTGCTGGGCTAAAGCTACTCGTGCGGGGCATAGAACTTTCTCATTGCTGGTCCCTTCAAATTCCGTGGGGACATCTTTGTATTTTATTTTTGTTAGAGAAGGTCTCAGTAGGTAGTCAGCTAGATTGGAACTCATTAGGTAGGCCAGGCTGGACTCGAATTCACAGATATGTGCTTGCCTTTGCCTCCTGAGTGCTGGGATTAAATGGGTGTGTCACACTACGGGGATGTTTTAAAAACTGTACATGTTTATTGACATTTTGAGGATTTCCCAGAGTGTGTTCTGATCACGTCCATCTCCCACTCCTCCCCCATCTCCTTCCAGACGCACCCCTACTTCCAACTGCAACCCCCAGTTCAGTTTGTGTCCCCTTGTCCTCATGGGTGTGGGGCCATTGAATGGAGCAAGGTGGACCTACCGGGGCTTTGCGCTTGCCAGGCCAGCCCTCTGCCACATCCCCAGCCCTGACGGCACTTTTAAATAAAGAAGTAGATGAAATTTTCAGACTTGCTGTGGCTCCATCATTCCTGTTACCGTGGAGAGTGAGAGAGAAATTACAGATAAAGTCACAAAGGAACTTTGCGCTGCACCCAGAAAATTCTCAGTGGACACTGCTGTCTGGACACCCCATAATATGTGTATGTCAAAGTCTGGAAGGAGGCTCCTGGGGGAGGAAAGCCAGTGGGGAAGGCAATGTGATTCTTATTTTAGTAGCGATGCATAGATATTGAAAAGTTAAACTACTTATTTTATAGACATGTGTGTGCCTGAGTGTGTGTGTGCACCGTGCACATTCAATGCCCGAGGAAGCCAAAACATGCTGGATCCTCTGGAACTGAAATTACAGACGATTGTGGACACTGTGTGGGTGCAGGGATTCAGACCTGAGTCCTCTGTGAGAGCAGTCGGTGCTCTTAACCGTTGAGTCATCTCTCCAGTCTCTGCTCTTTCTTTTTCCTTTTTTTTTTAAGACAGGGTTTCTCCGTGTAGCCCTGAGTGTCCTCAAACTCACTTTGTAGACCAGGCTGGCCTAGAACTCAGAACTTCCTGATCCTCCTGCATCAGCCTCCTGAGTCCTAGGATTAATTAAAGATGTGCACCACTGGCCCGGCCGGATATTAGTGGCGCTTGCTTGCCTTAAAACACTCCGGAGGCAAAGACTGCTGGATCTGTGTGAGGTTGAGGCCAACCTGATCTACCAAGGAAACCCTGTCTTGGAGAAGAGAGAGAGAGAGAGAGAGAGAGAGAGAGAGAGAGAGAGAGAGAGAGAGAGAGAGAGAGAGAGAGAGAGGTGCATACCTGGCTACTCTTACTTTTTTTAGTTACTTCAAAATGTAAAAATAATTTGTATATAGCAAGGTCCTGTTTTTGTTTTTTCTATCCCAGTCATCAGACAAAATACAAACTTAACAATCTCATTCTCAGAAATGCATGGAAGAGGCAGGAGGATTGAAAATTTCTCGTTCACCATGAGGGCTTTCATACATGTCCTCATTCAACTACATCATATACTTGGACCACAGTTACCACCAAAACCTCTTCTTTCTGCCCCTCTCAGCCTTTTGGTCCTCTATGGTAGGTTTCTCCACCGACACAGTAGGCCAGATCCAGACAAATTAAAAAGTAAAAGAGCTGGTTTATTTTGGCAAAGGACTCCTGGGTGACCCTCCAGGCCCCAGAGAGTGGGGCAGGAGAAAGGGCAGGAGAAAATTCACTTGGCGGTTCTAAAGTAGGGAGCTTAAATACCGTGTAGCCGGATGGGGGGTGATGATGGGTTTGTACCCAAGTATGGCACGCGGCACGCTTTTAGCTAAGCAGGGTCTTGAGGGGCTACCAGCTTCGGGGGATTGGCCACCAACACTGGAGAACTGGAATTTTTGGAGGTTTTTTCTGAGAGGGAGGGGTTTGAAGAGGGAGGAATAGCCAGATCAAGCAGGAGTGAGCTGGAGATTCCAGGTGAGCAGTTTGCATTTCTCTGTCTTTAAAACAAGACCAGACAGCCCGTAGTGGTGCATGCCTGTAATCCCAGCACTAGGGAGGCAGAGGCAGGCAGATCTCTGTGAGTTCCAGGCCAGCCTGGTCTACAAGAGCTACTTCCAGGACAGCCTCCAAAGCCACATAGAAACCCTGTCTCAAAAAACCAACCCCTCCCCCAAAAAGGTTAGAAATGCTTTGTGTTTTTCTCCATTTAATAAAATGTTTGGCTATAGGTATATTATAGATCATTTATGGTCTTGACACACCTTCTTTCTATTCTGAATTTTTCCAGGACTTGTATCATAAAGGAATGCTGATTTTTAAATTTTTATTTCTTTAGTTAGGTATACATGTGTGTCTGTGTGTACGTATGTGCACATGAGTGCCTGTGTTTGCAGAATGCAGAGGATGCATATCCTGGAACTGGAGTTACAGGCTGTTGTGAGCCGCCAGATGTAGATGCTGAGAACTGAGCTCAGGTCCTCTCCAAGAGCAGTCCATGGTCTTAACTGCTGAGCCATCTCTCCACACACTGTTTTTGCATGTGCAGAGAGACCAAATTCACATCTTGAGCTGTCACAGCCTCAGTTTTTGATCTTGTGCCTTAGTTTCCCCAGATCTAAACTCTACACCACTATGACATAGATGTTCATGGGATAAACCAGCAGGAACAGATTATAAATCAAAGGTGCCAATAAACTTGGGCCTGTACTCTCTCTGTTAGTGAACTTCTCACCGCTCTAACAAGCACCCAAGACAATCAGATTACAATACGAAAAGGTTATTTTCTTTCGGCTCACAGATGCAGACCCGCCAGCCGCCACTTTGGGTGAGGGAAGCAGAGCATAGGAGGAATGTGTTCCCTCTATCATTCTACAGGTACACTGGGAGTGCTCCAAAACCATGCATAGGCTCTGAGACCAAGCTCTTGTGATACTAAATAACAGGACACATCATTTGACGATACGTGGAGACCAAGGGTTATCATAATCACTTATCAGCACAGTGTATTTTGATCACTACCCACAGGACAAAGAAGGTGGGGATATTTTTGTGTTAAGTTTGGAGAAGAAAAACACTGTGCTGGGTAGTTCAGAGGGTCTTTTAAAATCTATATAATTAATTAATTTATTTATTATGTGTTTAGTGTTCTGCCTGCATATATGGCTATGCACCAGGAGAGGGCACCAGATCTCATTAAGGATGGCTGTGAGTCACCATGTGGTTGCTGGGAATTGAACTCAGGACTCTGGAAGAGCAGCTACTGCTCTTAACCTCTGAGCCTTCTCTCCAGCCACCTATTTTAGTTTTTAAAAATTCTGTGTATGTTGTGTTTGAAGTTCATGCTCATGTGACTGCAGGAGGCAAAGGAGGTCGGAAGAGGGCATCGAATCTCCTGGTTCTGGAGTTGCAGGCGTTTGTGGGACATCCAGGATGTGCCAGGAACTGAACTTAGGTCTTCTGCAAGGACAGTACTCTCTCTTCACTGCTGAGTCATCTCTCCAGACCCCCTTATTCTCTTTAAAGTTTTTAATTACATGTGTATTTTCAGCTAACTAATTAACTAATTAATTTGTGTGTGTGTGTGTTTGTGTGTGTGGAGTTCAGAGGATGACTTGTGGGAGTTGGTTCTCTGCTTCCACCATCCCAGTCCTGAAGACAACACTGTGTCATTAGGCTTCCTTGTGGATACCTTTACACACACAGCACGAGGCTGGTCTCTTATATTCTTCATACAAACAGAAACATGTGGGTGTTTAAAAGGGAATTTATTTTAGAAATTAATTTTAGTGATATATCCCAAACCGTAAGTTCAGAGGGTGTGGTTTTGAGGTTCTTTCACCAAAAAGATATGAAAGTTTAGGGATGTTTCCATCATTAATTGAGTCATCCATAATCAGGGTAGACCAGTACTCCAAAAACTATAGGAATATGTCCTACAATTATAGTGTGAAAGTGAACAAATATATAATAACATTAAAAATTCGATGGCTTATTAAGAGTATCAAGCACAGAGGTGTCATATAATCCAGTTTCCACCCTTGGTAGACACCCAAGTCAGAGAAAAGCACAAATCTATACAATACACTGTCTTTGGTATTTACATCTGTGCCACTCACAATAGCCCCAATCATGTAGAAACAACTCAGACGTCTATCAGCTGGGGCTGTGGACATAACTCATTGGGTAGGGTAGGTGCCCGTCTAGAATCCACCAGGGAAGGAGATGAGGGGTGTGTCTCAAGTGGTGCTGTTCTAGCCTAGAATCCTCCACTGAGGGCACGGGGCACATATCAGTGGCAGACCACCTGCCTAGAATCCACCAATGAGGTGCTGGAATGTTGTTTAGTGATAGATCATTTACCTAGATCTACCTGAGAGAGGCATGGGACATGTCTCATTTGTGTAATGTTTGCCTGTACCCCACCAGTGAATGGCTGAGGGTATGGTTCATTGATAGAGCACCCATCTAGAATCCCCCTGTGCGGTGCTAGGGCATAGTTCAGTCTTAAAACAAAGGAAGACAAAAAAGAATGCTTGCTTAGCATGCACATTGGTCTAGGTTCAGGCTCTGGCACCTTCTGAACAGCCACGTGCAAACACGCAGGTGTGCACATGCACACATGATGGAATACTAGAATCAATATTAAAATGAAAGAAATCTATGCTAGGCGTGTGTTACAATGCAGATGAACCTTGAAAATATTTTTCTATGGGGCCAAAGGTAGGGGCTAGTCTAGATACTAATTTACATGAATATCCCCCAATGGTCCTATCCATAGAGACTGAAAAAAGATGAGTAGGGACAAGACATTTGGGGATCCTCTACTCAATGGTCACAAGGTCTCTTTAAGGAGTGATGAGGTATGTGGGATGGAGCCACATCCTCGTGAATGTACTAAAGAACATTCTTGAGTCAGAATTTCTCTATGTAGCTATGGAGGCTGTAGCCAGGCTGTCCTCAACTTCACAGAGATCCACCTGGTTCTGTCTCCCCAATGCTGGCATTAAAGGCATACACCACAACCGGCCAGCTAGAACATTAAATTTTTTACTTTAAATTGGGCGAGTTGCACAGTATGTGGATGGTGTTTCAAAGAGCCTGCTAAAATTAGTGATGCTAACTGCACAGTGAGCAGAGTGATTGCTGTGTTCCGTCATGCTCCAGGTACTGCTCTAATCTCAGCACTTTCAAATGATTGGCAGAAGCTGGACCGATGGCTCAGTGCTTAAGGATGTGTACTGGGGCTGGAGAGATGGCTCACAGGTTAAGAGCACTGACTGATCTTCCAGAGGTTCTGAGTTCAGTTCCCAGCAACCACATGGTCTCAACCATCGGTATGAGAACTGGTGCCTTCTTCTGGCCTGCAGGGATGCATGCAGGCGGAACACTGGGTACATACTAAATAAATATAACTTTAAAAAAAAGTTAAAAAATAGAATGCGTGCTGCTCTTCCGGGATCTGAGTTTGAGTGCCAGCATCCATTCCAGGCACCCCCACAGCAGCTGTAATCCAGTTCCTGGGGATCCAATGCCTGTGGCCTCTGTAGGCACCTGCACCCTCCAAGATTAAAAACAGAATAAAACATTTTAAATAACTGACATTCTCTAGCCCTATAAAATGTGTCCTACATGAATCTCATTTCATGGACGACAAACAGAAGTGACTTTATCAATGTCTCATGGCCAAAGAGTGGTGGTGCCAGGATCCAAAGCCACATGGACTTGCTCCAGCTGCCCCTCTGCAGCTCTCTGCTTTGTGCCCACAGGTAAGTCTCTCCCAGAAAGAAGGAAGGGCTGTGTGTGCTCTCCCACTGGGAGGTCCATGCAAACCTTCCTTATTTATCATCTTCACTCATCATAGCAGAACTGGATCCACGGGCTTCTCACACCGATACTTCAATCCCTTCTCAGTTTCCCTGGCATGGCCAGGAGCCCTTGGGACACAGAGAGGAAGGAGAGTTGAGCCCTCTTCAAACCTCAAGGCTTGCCCCCCAATTCCACAACCTTCTAGAATAGTGCTGCCAGTTGTGGCAGTACTAGCACTTAGTCTATGTATATTCCTCTAGTCACTTGTATATCAAATATAATATGAGGGCTACCTAATATTGCTTATAATGTATTGATTGCAAAATATAAGAAAAACAAGTATTTATGTATTCAATGCAGACGGGATTTGTGTTTTTTTATTTTTTCTTTGAGATTTTTGTACATGTCTACCATGTATTTTACACACATCCACCCCTCATTTCCTCACCTTCACCTCCCCCTGCTTTCCCAATAACGTCTCCTTTACAACCCCATGTTCTCTTATAATCCTATAATCTAATCAGTGCTGTCCCTAAGTGCATGGGCATAGGATCATCCATGGGCCCAGACAACATTCCAGGGGCCACACTATAGGAAAGGGGCTGCCAAGGGCTGGAGAGTTGGCTCAGCACTTAAGAGTACTGAACGCTCTTCGCTCTTCCAGAGGATCTGGGTCCAATTCCTAGCACACACGTTTCAGCTCACGACTGTCTGTAACTGAAGTTCCAGGGGACATAACACCCATGGCAAAGCACCATTGGGCCTCATGCTGGCATGTCTGACCGGCTTGGTCCTGAGTGGGTGGTCCCAGCTGCTATAACTTCATGTGTGCAACGGGTGTGTCATGTCTGGGGGACAGCACTCCACAGCACTCCTCCCCATTCTCCAGCTCTCCCATCCTCCTCCTAGAGATGTATCGTATGTTATGATTGTTGTACCCACTCAGAGAGGACCCCAAGGCTCAAGGATCTTAATGACACCAAATCCAAGTACAAGAAGGTCCATTTATTTCAGGAAAACCAACTCGCTGGGGCTCAACTCTGTCAGGAGGGCAGCAAAAGCATGGCACTTTAAAAGAAAAAAGGAGGGGACGGGGGTGTCCCGAGTCTGCAAGTCCTAGTCTGCAGGGTATAGCAAAGGTTATCAGAAACAAAAGGCCTTGAGAAGAAGTGAGAGAGAATCCTGAGACTGCAAGTCTCGGTAGTGTTCCCATAGTTACAGAGATTACTTAGCACAGTAAGTCTTTATACATAGTTATAGCATCTCAATTTTTCATACAAATTTAGACGAGGCCTTGAGAAGACAATAACTGCCTTTGGTTAGGTAGAATTAATTGCCACATCTGTTCTCTGGGATTCCACGGCCCGAGCACATCCTGTGATTGTGGGCTAAGGGAGTAGCTGCCAATGCTGTTGCAGCTGCTGGTGGGTCTGAGCTTCTGATCCTGTAACCCCCCCTCACTTAGTAGGGGATTTTTATTTTCTTTTGTTTTTTCCGTCCATTTTCCTTAGTGGCCCAGATCACATCAATGAGGAAGCTCAAGGAGAACCCTGAGTGGGGGATTCCACGGCAGATGAGCAAGACCGAGGTGGAGGGACAAACACACCAGGCAGACAGAGCCTAAGTGAGAAATTTTATTAGAAAGGGCAGTGGGGCGTGAAGAGAAAAGAGGTAAAGAGACACAGAGACAGAGAGGACGAAAGAGAAGAGGGAGACAGGAAAAGTCCCGTCAGCCCCAGGAGAATGTCAGGAAAAACAGAAGCAGGAAAGAGAGAAGCAGCAAAGACAGCTGGAAAAGATAACCTAAGTGGGCAGGGTCTTTCTTTTAAAGGGGCCCCTTGCATCTGCTTGCAGAATATGCAATCATGGAGCCCTGGGCTGACCAGGGTGCTGCCTGAGTGCATTCTGTCAGGTGATATGGCAAGCCAGCATGATGCCTGAGTCCTTATTTTGTGAGCCTTGTAACTGGGTTGATAGACCTACAGCCAAGCACGCAGTCACTTGTTCTCAACATTACAAACATGAACAAGTATCTTAACCAGGTTCCTTGACAAATGTATGGATGTAAATGAGAATACTTGAAGTTTAACAACATGACCACTGTAGCCCCTCCACAGGACATGAGCTCAGGTGCCAGTACCCACATCAGGCACCTAGAAACTGACTGTAACTTCAAGTCCAGGAGATCATATGCATCCGACCAAAGGGTTGTGATACTCATGTGCTCATATTCACATGCAGAAACACCTACACATAACAAAACCTAACAAGAATAAATCATTTTTAAAATGAGAAGATTATGTCATTTTTGGAAAAACGAGTGGAACTGAAGGGTTTAACTGAGGTCCTCAAGACCACTAAGTTAGAAATGCTCCCCAAGTAATCGGGTAAATGAAGTCATATAGAGAGGTCAAGGGGTAAAGGTACCTCGTCTCTGAATGAAGACACGAACTAAGGCAGCCTTGACCTCCTTGTTCCGCAGGCTGTAGATGAGGGGGTTGAGCATGGGGGTCACCATGGTGTAGGACAGGGACACCACTTGCTTGCTCTCAGGGGAGTAGCTGGACTTGGGGCGCAAGTGGATGACACCTGTTGTGCAATAAAACAGAATTACCACGACGAGGTGGGAGGCACAGGTGGACAGGGCCTTGTGGCGCCCAGAGGCTGACGGCATCCGAAGGACAGCAACCAGAATCCTGGTATAGGACGTGACTATCAGAGATACAGGAACAATCATAAATACCACAGTGATCACGAAAATACTGTCCTCGAAGACTCTGGTGTCTGCACACACCAGGCTCAGCAGAGGTGGTATGTCACAGAGGTAGTGCCGAATGCCCCGAGACCCACAGTACGGGAAGTTGAAGAGCCAGATGGTGAAGACCAGCGACACAGGGACTCCTGCGAGCCAGCAGGTGGTGGCCAGCAGGTGGCACAGCCTCAAGCTCATGATGGTACCATAGTGCAGAGGCCTGCAAATGGCCAGGAAGCGGTCCCAGGCCATGACTGTGAGGAGCAAGGACTCAGATGTGACACAGGACAACACGAAGAACAGCTGCAGGGCACAGCTTATGGGGTACATCCCGCGACCAGGTCGCAGCAGGGTCACCAGCAGACGGGGCGCCACGTCCAGTGAGAAGCAGATCTCCACCAGGGCCAGCTGGCGCAGGAACAAGTACATGGGCGCTCGCAGGCCTGGGTCCAGGCTGGTGAGCAGGGCGATGAGCGTGTTGCCTAGCAGCGTGAGCAGGAAGATGGCCAGGAAGAGCACTGCGAGCATTGGGCGCAGGGAGGGCACATGTGCAAAGCCCAGCAGAACGAACTCCAGCTCATGTGTGCGGCTCTGATTGGTCCAGGGAGCAGCTGCCCAGAAGGGTAGCATGGGCTCGGGATTCGAAGCTGTTGAGCTAAAGACCAAGGAGGAACCCTATGGAGTACCAGAGGGAGGAGAAGATGAAGTGAGAATTGTACTTCGTGAGTCTCAACTTTCACCTCACCTAGGAGAGCTTAGGAATGATAAATCAAGCCAAGGTGTCACCATGGACAGTGCCCTTCTTAAAATCCCCAGTGAGGGCGGATGAATCAAAGCAACCACGTCCTCTAATCTAGCCTGTCTTTGCCCTTACAGTCCTCGCTCTTCAAAAAACAAACAAAACCCTTAGGTAGCCCTGGCTGTCTTGGGCTCCTTATGTAGATCAGGCTGTGCTGGAACTCACAGACATCCTCCTGCCTCTGGCATGAACCACCACGCCTGTGAGACGGTTCTTGGCTGGCTCTCCATCCTCGTCCCCTTCTGAACTTCTAGCTGACTAGATTCGTTTCCAGAACCTTCTCATCTGTGGTCCCTGCTATTTCCTTCTCACTTCACGACCTTTGTCACACAGGCAACCTTGGTGAAACTTAGTGTGTCACAAAACCAAAACAGAACAAAACGATGTCAGTGCAGGACATGGATTTGTGGGACAGTGAGGACTTGGGTTGAGATAGACAGAGCGGAGAGTGAAATGACAGTAATCAGAATTGCATATGTACACACACACACACACACACACACATATATATATATATACACATATACATATATATATATGAGACTGCCAAAGAGCAAATTAAATTTAGGATAAAATTCATCAAAAAAAGCAAAAAGATAGAAAGTTGCTTGGGTTTTGCTTGCTTGTTTGTTTATTTTTTGGTTTTGGTTTGGACTTTTGTTTCATTATACAGTCCTGGCTGACCTGGAACCCACAGTGTAGACCAGGCTGGCCTCAAACTCACAGAGAGCCACCTGTGTATCTCCCAAGGGCTGGGATTTAAGGCGTGTGCCACCACCACCTGGCAGAAATTATTTTCTTAAAGAATAAAGATTTCCACGACAGAGGAGGAATGGATGGGAGATACCATAAAAGAGGGAGCCATTATAAGTTGGAGGAAAGATCTGGCACCAGTGAGATCTTCACAGATCTACAGGAATGACACCAACTGGCATTAAGGCTACCTTAAATGCCTTCCCATAATGGTGAGAATGATGACTGCCTTATATGCCATCCTAGAACTCTCATCCAGATGGAGGCAGAGGCAGACACCCACAGCTGTGAACCGAATTGAACTCCTGGAACCCAGTTGCAAAGAGAAATGATGACCAAGGGAATAGGGATCAGGCTAGAGAGGCCCACAGGGGCAGCTGACCTAAACAAGAGGCATCACATGGACCCCAGACTGATGATTGGGGGGACAGCATGGGACTGATCCAGACATCCTCCCACTGAACCTGGGGCAGAGAGAAGGCCTTGGCAATCTGTGGGACCTTGGAGAGTGGAGCAGAATTTATTCCTGGCATACAGAGGGACTCTGGGATTCCATGCCAGGTGGAGGGATGTTCTCTTAGCCTGGACACATTGGGAAGAACCTGGGCCATTCCCTGGATGATGTGACAGACTCTGGAAATCCCTCATGGAGGCCCTTGCTCTCCATGGGGAGTGGAGGGGGGATGGAGTGGGGGTGAGGAGTTGGGAGGATTGGGGATGGGGGAGGAGAGGAGGGAGAGGGAACTGAGAGTGGCTTGTGTAACAAGTTAAATAAAAAATATGGAAAAAATACTTCCATGAAAACACCAGAACAAAAATAAAAAATAAAAACATACTAAGGGCAGAAAAACAAGGACTGTGTTTAAACTCCCTGAAGCTCATAGGATGTCAGTGGAATGAAGACTGGAAAACTCTGAAAGCAACTCAAATAACACCACAAGGAGGGAAAGGCTCACCCAACAAATGGAAAACACAAGAATGGAGAAGGTCTGATTAACACTAGGTGTCTAGAGAGAAATCCCTGCAGCATAGGAACAAGGCAGCCTCCTCTGAGCCTATTTCTTACCTGTGAAGTGGTGATAACAGGGTTTCACTTGGGAGGCTGCATGGCACAGCACTAATTATTGGGGTAGCCCCAAGTTTAAAAACTCAGCATGGCCTTAGCCATCTTTAATGGGGGTCAGGAGGCTGTGGAAATGACACAGGGTAAAGAACTTGTGGCACCATCATGAGGCCCTGAGTTCAGACCCCCAGCCAGACATGGCGGAGGGAACTTTCACCTCCGCACTGGAAGGACAGACAGAGACAGGAGGACCATCCGCCAGCTAGTCTACCAGAAATAGAGAAGGCCAAGTTCAGTGAGAGACCCTGGGTTGAAGAATAAGGCAAGATGCAGGACGACCCTTGAAAATGACCCGTGGGTTCCACTTACATACACCACTGTGTATACAGAGAGACAGACAGACAGACAGACAGACAGACACAGACAGAGACACAAAGAGAAAGACAGATGCAACAGTGGCCACGACAGCACCACCTCATAGTCCAGATCTAGGATGATAGAGGCAGGAATCAGGAATTCAAGGCCAACCTGGATTATGTTATGAGGGACTCTGACTCAAACCATAAAATATGAAATAGGATGGGATGGGAAAAGAGGAGAGGAGGAGAGATGAGGAGGGAGGGGAAAGGAAGGGAAGAAGGGGAGAGGAGGGGGAGAAGGCAAGAGGAGAGTTAGGGGAAAGGGACAGGGCTGGAGTGGAGGGAGGAAAGAGGGGAAGGGGAGAGGGGAGTAAGGAAGGGGGAGAAGAGAGAGGGAGGGGAAGGGTCAGGGAGGGGAGTGATGGGTATCAAAGTAGACTGACATAGAAAATATTCCGGAAATGTTGTACCCCAAAACCCAAGTTGTAAAATAATAAGGACACAGCAGTATCTTAGCTTTGGTTACGATTACTGGGATGAAACTCCATGACCAAAGCACCTTGGTGAGGCAAGTGTCCATTTGGCTGATGTATCTACATTGCAGTCACTGAAGGAAGTCAGCACAGGAACTCAAAGAGGACTAGAGCCTGGGAGCAGGAGCTGATGCAGAGGCCATGGAGGAGTGCTGCCTACTGTCCTGGTCCACATGGCTTGCTCAGCCTGCTTTCTTATAGAACCCAGGACCACTGGCCCAGGGACAGCACCATCCACAAAGTGCTTGACCAGCCCACATCAATCCCTGATTAAGGAAATGCCCTACACAAGATCTCCTGAGCAAATTGGAAGCATGGGGGAGGGGAAGGGAGTTAGGAGAAAGAGAAGGGACAAGAGAAGGGGAGAGGAGGGCATGAGGGAACAGTAAGATTGAGTGAGGGGAAGAATAGAGGAGAGCAAGAAAGGAGATATCATAATAGAGCGAGCCATAGTAAGTGTGAAGAGAAATCTAGCACTAAGGAAATGTCCAGAGATCTACAAGGATGACCCCAACTATCAATCTATGCAATATTGCAGAAGCCACCTTAAATGCCCCTCCCCAGTAATGAGACTGATGACTACCTTATATGTCATCCCAGAGCCTTCATCCAGTAGCTGATGGAAACAGAAGTAGACACCCACAGAAACATGGAGCTGAATTCCTGGAATCCACTTGCAGACAGGGAAGAGTCCTGAACAAAGGTGTCAAGACCAGGCTGGAGAAACCCACAGAAACAGCTAACCTGAACGAGGGTGAGTTCATAGACCCCAGATTGATAGCTGGGAAACCAGCACAGGACCAACCCAGACCCCCTGAACATGGGTATCAGTTAGGAGGCCTGGGCAATCTATGGGGCCTCTGGCAGTGGAACCAGTATTTAGCCCTAGTACATGAATGGGCTTTGGGAGCCCACTCCACATAGAGGGACACTCTCTCAGCCTAGACACACAGGGGAGGGCCTAGGCTCTGCTCCAAATGACAGGAGAGACTTTGAAGCTCCCTGGGGAGCAGTAAGGGGATAGGATGGGGGTTGGTGGGGGGCAGGGGAGGAGGAGAGGGAGAAGGAACTTGGATTGGTATGCCAAAAGAGCTTGTTTCTAATTTAAATAAAAAAAAGTAAATGCCCTACCCCACAGTTTGCCTACACCACAGTCTTTTGGAGGCATTTTCTTCACTGACAAGCTCCTTTCTCAGATGACTTTAGCCTGTCAAGTTGAGCTGAAACTATCCAGTACAGACTGTAGGATACACAACACACCACAGAGTTGCCTGGTTTTTCTTTCAGGCCCACATGTACAGGGAGAAATGTACCATAAATGTGGGAAAGGATACACCCTAAAACAACGATGGAGATTCCTCTCAAAAAATGAGGATCCTGGTTGGAAGTAATAGGGAATTTTAGCTTTGGTCCTATTAGGTTGTGGGCTGGCGAGATGACCCAGTGGGTGCAGGTGCTTGCTGCCAAGCCTGACAAAGTGAGTTTGATCTCTGCAAATTACATGGTGGAAAGGGAGAACCTGCAGGTTGTCCTCTGACTGCCACACTGCATTGTGACATGCACACACACACACACACACACACACACACATACACACACACACCTTAAACACATACGTACATAAATAAATGTAATCTTAAAATCTAACTTTAATTTTTAAAAACTACTGCAAACAAATCACTCTTAAGGACAGTACATGGCCAAAATCTCCTCAAAAAATAAGTTCAGTGGCATCTTGGGGTCTTGTTATCACATAAATTTTGTGTCAGGGCTTTGTTTCTTTATTCTTCAGGGAGGGGTTGAGATAGGGTCTCTCTGTGTAACAGCCCTGGCTGTCCTGGAACTCACTTTGTAGACCTCATAGAGATCCCCATGACTCTGCCTCCCAAGTGCTGGGGTTAAAGGCATGCACTACCACCACCCAGCTTATTCATTGACTTTTAACTTCCATGTATTTTGTGTATATATTATAACATCCGGGTCTCTGTATTGCAGTCCTGTGTGTACAAACATGTGTGTCTCTGATTCTACCTGTGTTTCTTGTGCTTTTTCTCTGGCTTTCCTTCTGCTTGATTTGTCCTAATCCAGTTTGCTTGTGTTTTCTTTGTCTTCTTTTATTCTAT